AGAATGGTGAAGAAAAACAAAACAAAAAACTCCCTGCGGCAAAAAAAGCACGTTTTCAAGGGTTACATGTGCGCACCCCCCTGGCATTGTCCCGCCCCCCCCCAGGGAGGCACGCCCCACTATTTGAGAAGGACTGCCTTATATGGAGCCGTCAGCTGCCTTGTGTGAAAAACAACATTCTCCATGGTCTTCTGTCTCATCTTCTGCTCATGCTGAGTCCATTTTTGAAAAATGACAACATATACAGTAACTCCTAAAACTGCTAAAACTTGATGCTACTCCATTTTTGTTTTTATTTCCAGAAGAAGAAGAAGACGTGTCTTCAGTGGTTTTTGTGTTGTTTCTTTCAGTAGTTCTTGGTGCAGCGCCCCCACAGGTGAGTGGGGGAACAGGTTGGTTCAACAGGTTGACTCGACTGCACAGTGCAGTGTGAATGCAAACGCACCAGCTCAAATGTAACAAAATGTTATGAATATTGGTCCCCAACTGAACCCAGTCTACGTGTGGAGTGAATCATCACAACATGCTGAACCGAGCTCCTCGGATGGATTACACCCCGGCTTTGGTACCTGTTGTCGGCCTGGGAGGGGGGGCAGCCGGTGCGCTGCCTCACCCTCCCCCACCTACGTGCGCGCGGGGTGAATCATCACAACCTGTGGCTGCTGGACAGAGCTCCTCGGATGGATTACGTCACCCCCGCTCCACCTCATGTTCACATGGCCCTGGTTAATGCTAGATCACTAACTAACAAGACCTTTATTCTGAAGGATTTCTTCACCTCCCGTGGTCTGGATTTTTTATTCTTAACTGATGGGTAACTCCCGGTGAGTCCAGTGCTTTTTGTGAACTCTTGCAGCTGAACTGTACTTTCTTCAGCTCTCCCAGGAGGACAGGTCGTGGAGGAGGAATAGCAACTGTGTACAGGAAGAGCTATCTCTGTAAACAAATCACACCTTTAACATTTTTTTCCATCTTTGAGTTCAACTTATTTGAGCTCGGATCTTCACACCGGGTGCTGTGTGCTGTTTTATACAGACCTCCAAAATACAACAAGGACTTTCTGACTGACTTTGCAGATTTGTTGGCAGGAGTCCTGCCTAAATATGACAGAATATTGATAATTGGAGATTTTAATATTCACGTGTGTTGTGCTGACAAACCATTGGTCAAAGATTTTTTACAGCTGATCGATTCTTTTAATTTTGTTCAGTTTGTGTCTGGTCCCACACAAGAATGTGACCACACATTAGATCTTATCTTAGCTTATGGTTTTAATGTTTCTAATCTGGAAGTGTGTGATGCTGTTTTCTCAGATCACATGCCTGTTGTGTTTGAAATGCCACTTGTCTGTCACTCAGTCAAACCTCGCGCTCCTGCACAGCCCTGTCGGGTCATTAACTCCTCCACTGTTGCACAGTTCTCTGCAGCTTTTAGTTCTGCAATCAGCTCCAGGGATCCTGTGGGTCCTAGTTCACATGTTGAAGCTCTCTCCTCTCATTTTAACTCAGCTTGTCAGACTGTTTCAGATGCTGTGGCTCCATGAAAGATAAGAACCTTCAGACTGAAGCCTGACCCCTGGACTGATGATGTCACACGTGCTGTCAGACGCCAGTGCAGGAGAGCAGAGCGAAAATGGAAGAAGGACAAGTTACAGGTGTCTTTCCAAGCACTGAGGGACAGCTGGCGTTTCTATCAGTCCACTGTTAGAGTCGCAAAAAAACAAACATTTCTCTGACATCATTTCCACCAACTCTTAACAATTCACGTGTGCTTTTTAAAACCATCAGCTCTGTTCTTAATGCCCCACAATCAGCCTGCCTGGAGAACTCCACTGAAGTGTGTGAGAACTTTCTAAGCTTTTTTACCAACAAGGTTGCAAACATTAGAGCTCTCCTTCTTTTGATCCCTCCATCTCTGTCACACGCTCTGCTGTTTTCAGTCAGTTTGAGCTCATCACCCTGCCTTTTTTAAAAGACATCACTGGTCGTATGAAATCTGCTGGATCTCCAAACGATCCCATCCCACCTCATCTTTTTAAAGAGGTTTTTCACACGGTGGCTCCTTTTAGCTTGGCAAGTGGACAGGTACCTGCGAGTTTTAAACATGCAGTTGTAACACCACAGATTAAAAAACCCGGTCTTGACTCTACAGACATGTCCAATTTTAGGCCTATTTCTAAACTGCCCTTTGTGTCTGTCCTATGAAATTATCTTAAACAAAGTACAGGTTCGGGGAAAATGGTCAGAGCAATGAATAAAAACTCACAGGCTGTTTCTGCTAGAATAATAAGTGTCATTTTATTACACCACCACAGATACAGCGAAGCAAAGCACAAGTACATTCAGTACAAATCAGATATTGATGTAAAAAGTCCCTCACCGTGACACCAGACCGGGAAGCCGTTTCAGTCCGAGTAGAAAGGTAACATCAATTGGCTGGGCATTGGATCAGGATCCACAGCAGACTTCAACTCTAATTCTGAGTGTCACACTTTAATACTCTCTGCATTACATGGGAACATCTCCCAGTAAACAGAACATGCCCACCTGGACTTAAAGTCTGTGAAAAACCCTTGAGATAGTGTGAGCGCGTGAGAAGCTTAAAAAATCTCTAGATAACGAGAGAGCGTGAGAAGCTAGGGTGAGAGACCTCTAGATAGCGTGCGGGAGGAGGCGGGCCGGGCCTCCTCCTCAGGCCTCTGGGTAACTCACAACAACATGCACAAAAAACACTTTATATCACAGGTTAAATAGTCAGAAAAACAACATTTTATTAAACTCTCAACTCAGTGTCGAAGATCTTGGAGAAAATAGTTTACAGTCAGTTAACGTCTTACTTAAATGACCACAACCTTCTTGAACTGTTTCAGTCCGGTTTTAAAACTCACCACTGTACTGAGTCGGCACTGTTGAAAGTTTTTAATGACATTCTCTTCGCCACAGACTCTGGTCACTGTAGTTTTGATGTTGCTGGACCTAACTGCTGTCTTCGACACATTGGACCATCAGATCCTCTTGTCTCGTCTATAGAACTGGGTGGGCATTCAGGGTCCTGCTCTACAGTGGTTTAGATCCTGTTTAACTGAGAGAAGCTTTTGTGTGCGCTTTGGTTCTGTGGAGTCCTCTGTAGCACCCCTCATATGTGGAATACCTCAGGGATCTTTACTTGGCCCCCTTCTGTTTTCCCTTTATTTACTACCTCTGGGATATATTCTCTGGAAACATGGTATTTCTTTTAATTTTTACGCCGATGACAGCCAAATCTATATTCTTTTGAAACAAGATAAACAGTACTCCTTGAACCAACTCCTGGAATGTATGGCGGAAGTCAGAGCATGGATATCACAGAACTTTGTACACTTTAATGAGAAAAAGACGGAGGTCTTGTTGTTTAAGCCCAGTGATGGTTCTAAAGTCCATGTTGATCTGGGTCCTTTAACCAAACATCTGACTGAGACAGCAACCAACCTGGGTGTGAGGTTGGACAATGATTTTAAACTGGATGCTCAGATTAAATCTGTGGTCAAGTCCAGCTTTTATCACCTGAGACAACTGGCCAAGGTGAAACCATTCCTGTCACAACATCATTTTGAGATTTTAATCCATGCTTTCATCACAACTCGTCTGGACTATTGCAATTCACTTTATGTGGGTCTGAGCCAGTCATTACTGACTCGACTTCAGCTGGTTCAGAATGATGCTGCTCGTCTTTTAACTGGCACCAGAAAACGAGAGCACATCACCCCTGTCCTAA